GAGTTATTCAAGGATTTGCAATTTTCGTTTTGCCACAATGAGATTAGTAGGCCTCAGGATTGCAATGGATTTCACTTAGACTTGTCTCCAAAAAGCTATCTCATCTACGATGGAATGTAGTTTCGATCTAGCCTGAGTCTTATCGAAACCCCCAATTATATTTGATACTGAGTGTTGAGTGTGGAATCCAGCCGAGGGTGTTGATGAGACATAGGCGAGGTCGAAACTGCAGTCTCTGTTGGACCAGATTGCCCTTTGGGGAGGCAAAGACAAGTGAAATTCGATGGCATCATATGGCCTCGTGGGAAAATTTAACCATCACTCCTTAAATAACTTAAATCACTTAGAATAATTAAGTTCTTATTAGTCTAAGCTTTCTTTGTTAAGCATGTCTTTGTTTTGATTTAATACAATCATTTCTAATTATTGCTTACTTATCTTGCGTTTCTTTGTTAGATGTATCTTTTTCTCATGTATTCCTTTTGCCTGAATATTTTTGTTTAAATTAAGTAGTCTTTTAGGAAGTATTATTGGGACTTTAATTTCGTATGTAAGTGTACGAAGAAGAGATTCGAAGGTCGATCTCACCAGAAGAGGATGGTTGAATCCCGTTGTACTGCAGCTGTTTGGCTTTTATACGACGTTGAGATTGACGCAGTCCACGAGACTTTCATCTCTTCGGGAGATTCATCGAAACCCAGTTATTTTTTATATCTTATAAGAAGGGTACTTGATTTTTTGTATCTATGTTGACTCATCTTTAAGTCTCTTCCTGACATTATGTTAACCCTGAGCAATTCCTTCGTTGCCGCCTTCAAAAGTACTAGAGAACATGACCATTTTACAAAAAAATCACGAGACTTCTTAATGCGATTGTATTCATTAACCTAAATTCCAACTTTTGTTCCCTTTGATGTGTCCGTTCTAATATTGTCTCTGCTGTATTAACCTGTTTGCATATCCCCACAGTGTTTCATTGCACCCACATCATTCACTAACCATAATCGTCTGCCCTTAGTCCACGCTGCCGGTCTGCCCAACGGTACTACCTTCTCAACAGGCCTGGGTTCTCCGATGGGGGGCTTTACTTTGACTCGCCTTTTTAATGGTACCATGACCGCCATGCCTCATCCCCATGTTTCCCCATCAACGATCCATCAGACCCCGGGTGGCCCAGGCCAGCTACCTTTATCCTTGTCCGGTCATATACCTGGAACTGCAGGACTTACTTTACCTGCATTTTCTACCGGAGGAGCTAACCTATCTCCTTCCAGCTCTACTCCAAACACCGCTTCAAATGCCACATTTTCATTTTCACCGTCACCATCGTTGATGCCACCAGTCTCTGCTGCCCTCATAGGCCCTGCTGGATCGGCTCATAGTGGGTTGACTGCCATATCCAGTTTTTCTCCCGCTCAGCTTCAACCTTCAATGACGGGTCTTCTGATCCCAGCAACTTTGGGCAAACCAACAATGCCAAGCTCAGTATTTACGGCTGCGCTGCCGGTCAATATCGGCAATAACAGCAATACAATGAATGCACCTCAGACAGGTCTCACGAGGTTGGCGCCTAGCCCTGTAGGTGGCCGACCAAGACAAACAGGTATCAACTATTTATTATGAGCACACTTATTTGAGAAGTAGGATGCTAACTGCATTTGTTTGATCATTACGTCTTCTATAAAGGCCCCCTTAAAATAAATATTTTGCAACCCTGACTGATTGTTTATTTATTTTCCGCATTTTAGTCCTCCTTCTTTTCCACTTGCCTGTAGGGTTATTCAATTTCTTTTAATGGTGTGACTACTATTAAGACTACTAGTTAATTTAGCTAAGATATACTGGATTTTGTAAGTTAATTAGTTATCAAAAGCTTTGAAATGTAAGTCATTAAATGATCGAAGAGAAAAAAGTTGCTTTAAAAAAATTAAATTAAATTATGACTTACGCCACTAAACGTAGCTATGAAGTAGGGATTTTAATAAGATAGTAAATAGTAGATAGATGGGTGATAGCGCAACCGTTTCGACAGAAAGTTGGTCTAGGAGTTGATTTCACTTGTCTCTTTGACGAGCTTTTGCTTGATGCTGAGAATAGCAAGTCTCACCGACGATGCTGGTGAAACGTTTGGGAATGTACCAAGTTCACGATCCGACCCTGGGAATTATGATACTATAGGAGAGGACTTTGGACAGGCTGTATCCAACCAAGTCCCCCTGACAACACGACCAAGTTGCAAAAACGAGGTCAGACTATTTCTTTACGCCACTAGTGTTTAATTTCGTTTTGACTAAATTTTCCAATTTGTCCTGCTTACTTAGGCATTAATTGCATTTATTCCACCTAATTTTATGCCAAACTTCTACAAAACTGCCCCTTAACCTACATTTTAACGATTAGATTTGTTAGTTGATTGATAGATTTGTTTTCCATGTTTATTCCTATTTAAAATGGAAAGATATCATTTTTAAATCGTACTGCATTTATAAATTTTTATCTTTTTCTATTCCTTCCGAAAAGTGACTTCTAACAAACGTGATTCCATCCCACCTTCTGCCAATACGGCTGAATTGTTACGTCGTCTCGATGATCAAATTGGTATCCTACAGCGCATGGCTTCTCGCACCGCCCTACAAAACACTCGGCTCACCCAGCTAGTCGATGTCCGGGCCCAGCTCCTAAAGGCATCTTCGACCTCTTATTCATCTCCTCCAGCCTCTTCATCTAATCCTTCTTCTTCTAGTGCCCCATCTCCCTCATCCTTTAACACCACCTCTGATACTATCTTGCGAGATGCCATGCCTCTTGGACCTCGAATGCTGCCAACTGGGCCTGTTGGGCCATCTGTCTCAGTCGCCTCACCGGCGATGACTAGTCCTTGCGGAGCTCCTGGCAAGCCAGCAAGTGCTCAGGCGCGCCAAAATACTTGTGTGGGCCTAGTAATGGCTCAAACACCCGTCACTGCCAGTGTGGTGAGTGCTTCATTATCTTGGGAATTTTTCTGGAAGTACTGAATTCGTTTTAAGACAGGTAAAACACAAGAATAACCATAATGCGCAGCTATCAAATTATTCTTACCATCACTTCTATTCTCCAATATTATAATGTAGAGATCGTTAATGAAATTTTTAAAAAGCTAACTAGAAACGTTTAAAAAGCACTAACAATACATGTATCTACATGAGGACATATAAATATATTAATCCATTATAATATTAAGAAATTAACCTACTGCGAATAGTCTTTATCTTTTTATTCAGTGTGTGAATAAACCATATCCATTTATTGTATTTTACTTTTTTATCGGTCGTGTATGTCTTATTATACCAGAATGCTAGCTAAAAAATCGAGTTCATCTTTCGGGTTTACTAAAATGTCTTCTGATTGAGAATTTATTTGTTTTATAATTTATTTTTCTTGGTCGTGACTCAACCTTTCATTTAGAGGGAAACATTGGTTTTAAGGAATTTGTGAATTGGTTTCATCGGAAACCGAAGGAGTATTGCCGTGGAGTGAAGACTGCTGGGTTGTACGAAAAGGTCCTTGGCTCGCCATCCAGTGATTTTGAGGAACCTGTACGTTCCTTTAATGTTGATTCATG